CGTGATACGTCAAAATGTGAATCATACATGATACGTCAAAATGTGAATCATAGATGATACGTCAAAATGTGAATCATAGATGATACGTCAAAATGTGAACCATACGTGATACGTTAAAAGTGAACCATACATGATACGTCAAAAGTGAACCATACGTGATACGTCAAAATGTGAATCATAGATGATACGTGAAAATGTGAACCATACGTGATACGTCAAAAGTGAACCATACATGATACGTCAAAAGAGAACCATACGTGATACGTCAAAAGTGAACCATACATGATACGTCAAAAGTGAACCATTCGTAATACGTCAAAATGTGAATCATAGATGATACGTCAAAAGTGAACCATACGTGATACGTCAAAAGTGAACCATACATGATACGTCAAAAGTGAACCATACGTGAAACGTCAAAATGTGAATCATAGATGATACGTCAAAAGTGAACCATACATGATACGTCAAAATGTGAACCATAGATGATACGTCAAAATGTGAATCATAGATGATACGTCAAAATGTGAATCATAGATGATACGTCTAAATGTGAACCATACGTGATACGTCAAAAGTGAACCATACATGATGCGTCAAAATGTGAACCATACATGATACGTCAAAATGTGAATCATAGATGATACGTTAACATATGAACGTGTCCGTTTAAAGTAGCCTTAGTATGGCTAACATTAAACGTTTCATCACATACATAGTCACATATATAGTCTTCCCGAAAATTGTGAGGTTTATGAAAATTAAGAAATTCATTGAATTATGGGGCCAGCTGGACCTCCCCATCTAGATATTGACTTGCAGTTTTATTCGTTATTTGTCTTCACTTTATCGTTCTAAATTTGTATCAAAAGTGCTATTAACTTTTGAGTTTGTGTAATATTTTTCTCTTCGTAGCATTTGATCGCGTTTGTTTACATGCAGCTATGGCCATTGAGCAATCGTGCCTCTCGGCGGTGTGCTCGACTGGTAGGGAATATACCTATACTAGGTTTACGTTCACAAATTTTGTATACAATTTAAGAACAATTGATGTGTAGTATATGTTAACTGTACACATTTGTATATTGTCACTCTGTTTAAAGACTTGTTATTGTTTATATGTGGTGTTATATGAGGGGGCCATTCACCACTAACACGATGTCACTTTAAACAACGTGTGATTCATTGTGTATTTTACAGTATACTTTGTCATCATGACCTATTTTGTTGTATGTTTTCTAAGTATACCAGTGAGTGGCGATCTATATGCGTCGTTCTCGTCACTTAACATGTATATCCGTTTGTATAACGCTTCCGCTACATTGAAGAAAGAAGTGAAATAAACTCCCTATTTATGGTTGTTATAGTGATCTTGTTAAGAAATAATCTGTTTCACGGTGCGATAAAAATACTGGTTTTAACGAATATGAGTTTGGATTATAATTATGTTGACTTGTTGATATTTTTTGTTGTTATTTTTTCACCCCCACAATGTTTTTAACGTCAAACGTCCACTAACTAGTCTTTGTATGATATTTAAGTAATTCTATATAACTCTTTATACCGTTTTATTTTTTATTATAATTATTTTAAAACGACAGATACTTATAAACTATTTACTGAGACATTGCCACAGAAATACCTCACAACTGACAACGAACTGTTGAAACAGTTTTAACACATTAATCGCATCATGCAGAATATCCCTAGATAGCACATCGGACAATAAGTGTATCTGAAATCCGTGCAGACAATGCTTAGGCCCATCACAACCTCTCTTGGACGACCACTAAATAGACAAACAGGTAATCAAAATTAGTAGGTGCAAGTCCTCGTCCACTTTTTGACGGCTCCGTCGTTTGGTTTAATAGGGGTCCGGAAATGTACAATCGTCATTTTCGACTAGCCAATTCATGGTTCATATACCTCGTGATGTTGATTGGGGGTTTTCATTTCTGATTAAGCTAATACAGGAACACTATACTTGTAATTATACGATGGGACTAAGTCATTGACAGTTGACTCATCAGATGTTGTGATACCTTGAGTGTTGGCCGTTCCCCAAGCTGTTTCGCTGTGCATATTGTGCATTCACGTTCTTAATCCTAGTAAGTAATGTCACGTTCTCAAATGAAAATAATGTATAAATACAACGGAATCATCCTCGATACTCCAGGGGTTACAATCACTATCACTCTCTGTACCCCTGGACCCTTCCTCGATACTCCAGGGGTTACGGTCACTTTCGCTGTCTGTACCCCTGGAACCATCCTTGATACTCCAGGGGTTACGATCACTTTCGCTGTCTGTACCCCTGGAACCATCCTCGATACTCCAGGGGTTACGATCACTTTCGCTGTCTGTACCCCTGGAACCATCCTCGATACTCCAGGGGTTACGATCACTTTCGCTGTCTGTACCCCTGGAACCATCCTCGATACTCCAGGGGTTACGATCAATGTCGCACTCTACACTCCCGGTACGATCCTCGAAACTCCATTGGTTACGATCACTGTCGCTCTCTACACCCGCGGTACCATCCTCGATAATCCAGGGGTTACGATCTCTCTCTGCACCCCTGGACCCATCCTCCATAATCCAGGGGTTACAATCACTATCACTCTCTGTACCCATCCTCTATAATCCAGGGATTACAATCACTATCACTCTCTGTACCCCTGGAACCATCCTCGATACTCCAGGGGTTACAATCACTCTCTGTACCCCTGGACCCATCCTCCATAATCCAGGGGTTACAATCACTATCACTCTCTGTACCCCTGGACCCATCCTCCATACTCCAGGGTTTACAATCACTATCAATGTCAGTACCCCTGGAACCATCCTCGATACTCCAGGGGTTTCGATCACTTTCGCTGTCTGTACCCCTGGAACCATCTTTCGATACTCCAGGGGTTACGATCACTTTCGCTGTCTGTACCCCTGTAACCATCCTCGATATTTCAGGGGTTACCATCATTATCACTCTCTGTACCCCTGGAACCATCCGCGGTACTCCAGGGTTACAATCACTTTCGCTGTCTGTCTCGAGGTCGGGTAACGGTATATTGTAATGGTTTTGAAGATGGATGTCGCTCGTGTGTAATCTTCAAAAGGAGCATATCGGCCTGTGATTGGACAGTTTTTTTTCTCCTGGAACCAATCAACTTGCTTGCTTGTCATATTAATTTTGTCGTGTTCCACGGGTCTAGAGAGCGAATGTGATCGTAACTTCTGTAGTATCAAGGATGCTATAAACCAAGCTAACGAGCACCAACCACGTCTTGCTATGACCGATATGAGAAGTTCGTCCTTAATTAAATCGTAAGAAAGTTTCAATTGCATAATTTTAAGAGGCGACTGATCATAAGTTCAATAATCATTTTGTATCCCATTTCTAAATAATACAATATTACTTCTATTGAACTTCTCCCCCGCGTTTTGAGCTTCCGTCTATGTGAGGAAGGCTGCTAGGTTTTCCCCCAATACCATTAAAATCCTTGTTTGTGCTACCTGCTTGTCGCTACGTGATGAGTCTGATAACAAGGATTAGGTAGACAGTTGGTATTATGTGACAGAATGAGTTGTCATAAACCTTGTAGGGGTTGTGTCATTTTAGTAAGACTGCACTATACAAGCGCCCGCTAGAGTTTGATTCGTATATACATTGTTTAACGTCTTGTAAAGGTTACTTTAAGGACAGTCTCACGGTGTATGCGATGTGAGTGTATGTGTTGTGTGTGCGAGTTTGGGACAAGTAATCTGATGTCCATAGGCCACAATGTTCCAACATAGCACAGTCTGAGTTGACACATATATAAATAACGTGTTCCTTCAGAGAGGCATCAGGATTTTTTATTTCATGTGATTCAGGAAACGTGCCTATTACAAAAGACGTGGCATTCATACCAACATAAATGCCATTGACATATCATTTTGTAAATATTCCTTAACAGCAGTAGCACGTTAAGTTAAATTTACGATGTTATCAATCCATTTCTGTTACTTTTGTCACAATTCATTTTATTGGCAAAATGAAAACATTTATTGAGTCACAACTTCGATAAACCACTACATTGATGTTATGGATGCTATATCACAGATAAAAAAAATGAATGGATTACAAATCGAATTAATAAATAACAGGACATACAAGTTGCATCCAGTACAAAAGTAAAATAAATATATATATATGTATAGCTTATTCTTCAAATCAACAAAACTTGTATATTTTTATCATTATTATTATTACATTTTTAACGGCCCGTCAACACATAAAAGGTCATTAGGGCCATCAAACGTTAAAACACACAGCGATCCAAAAGGAAATAACATTAAACAAACCAAAAGATAAAAGACAAATGTTAAAAATCTTAAATGGGTATGTTAACACGAAAGATTAAAATGGTACGTCATAGTCTATCATATAGACCAACATCTATCAGGTAAAGTAGAATTTTACAAATGTCAACAGTTTTAAGAAGGGATTTTAGACATGTAATGTTACGATAAAAACGTTCTCGTATGTACTTATGATTTAAGTCCAATTGATATACAATTCTACCGTGCCAATCAACAACTTTAATGTGATCAGTTTCGTGGAAACTACAGGTAGGATTGACGTATTGGCTGTCCTGTATAATGTTGTGTATAATGTATGTAAATATTGTGGGGGCTCCAACGGGAATAGGTCTGCGTTATAAATATATTACATACATATATGTAAATGTAAATATTTATCTACTTCGCTTCAAGTAATGCAGTTTTTGTTTTATTCCTTTTTTTTTGTCTTCGAAGGTGCATGCTGATATACTAAAAGAAAATATGACCCAAGTAAAAATTTTCTATTTTGCGGTGGAAATTCCAAATTACAAAACAGAATGTTAATGACTTGTTTCTAAGAAATACTTTAACATCAACATATCTGATGACGTCAAATTATGTATAAAAGGAGCTGACGGGATAATACGTGGTTATATCGTCTACTGCAGCTAGACAAGATGTATCCTGCTGTTTTAGCAAGGTAAGTGTAAATTTATCTGTTTTCTTACGCATGGGGAAAATCCTGTCAAACGTTTTCAAATACTTTTGCTCTACCGAGTTTAGTTATCTCCGTTCATTTCTAAATATGGTGGAGTTATCAAGCATGATGTAGACATTCAAGAGACGAATAAAACAAATTCAATATTCAAAATTTAAAATAATCCGTTTTATTTACAGGACGTTTTATACTTTCACAATCCTTTTACTGATGTTTTCGTCTGCGAATGCGGCGCTTGCATCACTCAATAGTGCTCCATTTCTCACTGGAACGATGGACGTCCCGTCTGCCGCCAGTCTTGGTCGACCATCTTCACCAGACCAAGCCAAAACGCCATCAATACAATCCAAATTTGCAGTTAAAGCTGCAGCTGCAATTCCAAGGCTTGATTCCTCTGTATTAAGTCAGACTGTTGACTTTGCACCAACCATTAAAGCATCAGTAGACGAGGCAATCAGCAAAATCGCGATTGACACTCGGAAAGAAGTCGCATTAGGAGGTAATCGACCATTTTCACATATTCCGAAAGTCTTTCTATGTATTTCTTAATGTTTCCGACTTTCAATAATACAGTGTCGAAAGTTTCACTGTCGTAAATATGAATATGTGTATAGTGTCTGAAGGTACACTGTCGTAAATATGAATACTGTGTATAGTGTCTGAAGGTACACTGTCGTAAATATGAATACTGTGTATAGTGTCTGAAGGTACGCTGTCGTAAATATGAATACTGTGTATAGTGTCTGAAGGTACACTGTCGTAAATATGAATACTGTGTATAGTGTCTGAAGGTACGCTGTCGTAAATATGAATACTGTGTATAGTGTCTGAAGGTACACTGTCGTAAATATGAATATGTGTATAGTGTCTGAAGGTACACTGTCGTAAATATGAATACTGTGTATAGTGTCTGAAGATACTGTCGTAAATATGAATACTGTGTATAGTGTCTGAAGATACTGTCGTAAATATGAATATGTGTATAGTGTCGGAAGGTACACTGTCGTAAATATGAATACTGTGTATAGTGTCTTAAGATTCACTGTCGTAAATATGAATATGTGTATAGTGTCGGAAGGTACACTGTCGTAAATATGAATACTGTGTAAAGTGTCTTAAGATTCACTGTCGTAAATATGAATACTGTGTATAGTGTCTGAAGGTACGCTGTCGTAAATATGAATACTGTGTATAGTGTCTGAAGGTACACTGTCGTAAATATGAATACTGTGTATAGTGTCTGAAGGTACGCTGTCGTAAATATGAATACTGTGTATAGTGTCTGAAGATACTGTCGTAAATATGAATACTGTGTATAGTGTCTGAAGATACTGTCGTAAATATGAATATGTGTATAGTGTCGGAAGGTACACTGTCGTAAATATGAATACTGTGTATAGTGTCTTAAGATTCACTGTCGTAAATATGAATATGTGTATAGTGTCTGAAGGTACACTGTCGTAAATATGAATATGTGTAAAGTGTCTGAAGGTACACTGTCGTAAATATGAATATGTGTATAGTGTCTGAAGGTACACTGTCGTAAATATGAATATGTGTATAGTGTCTGAAGGTACACTGTCGTAAATATGAATATGTGTAAAGTGTCTGAAGATACTGTCGTAAATATGAATACTGTGTAGTGTCTGAAGATACTGTCGTAAATATGAATATGTGTATAGTGTCTGAAGGTACACTGTCGTAAATATGAATATGTGTTAAGTGTCGGAAGGTACACTGTCGTAAATATGAATACTGTGTATAGTGTCTGAAGGTACACTGTCGTAAATATGAATATGTGTATAGTGTCTTAAGCTTCACTGTCGTAAATATGAATACTGTGTATAGTGTCTGAAGGTACACTGTCGTAAATATGAATACTGTGTATAGTGTCTGAAGGTACGCTGTCGTAAATATGAATACTGTGTGTAGTGTCTCAAGATTCACTGTCGTAAATATGAATATGTGTATAGTGTCTGAAGATACTGTCGTAAATATGAATATATGTATAGTGTCGGAAGGTACACTGTCGTAAATATGAATACTGTGTATAGTGTCTTAAGATTCACTGTCGTAAATATGAATATGTGTATAGTGTCTGAAGGTACACTGTCGTAAATATGAATATGTGTAAAGTGTCTGAAGGTACACTGTCGTAAATATGAATACTGTGTAAAGTGTCTGAAGGTACACTGTCGTAAATATGAATATGTGTATAGTGTCTGAAGGTACACTGTCGTAAATATAAATATGTGTAAAGTGTCTGAAGGTACACTGTCGTAAATATAAATACTGTGTAAAGTGTCTGAAGGTACACTGTCGTAAATATAAATATGTGTAAAGTGTCTGAAGGTACACTGTCGTAAATATAAATATGTGTATAGTGTCTTAAGGTACACTGTCGTAAATATAAATACTGTGTAAAGTGTCTGAAGGTACACTGTCGTAAATATGAATATGTGTATAGTGTCTTAAGCTTCACTGTCGTAAATATAAATATTATAAATAGTTAAATGAATAAATTGTTAACTGCTTTAAATATAAATTTTGATTTTGACAATATCCCTGACGTGATTCAGCTATTTAATGATCATTTCAATTGTTGTAATCACACATCCTTGTATGTCATATGAAATGGCAGCATGCTATCACACATATTTAACCTGCACATATCCGCTATTCCAAATAAGTAAAACCCTCATTCATAGATGTGACATAGCTTTTTCGATATTCACATTGAATGACTGATAAATATTGTGCGGACTTTATTTCACAGCATTTGATACACTAGACCATGCTACTGAGGGATTCGGACCACGCTTTAGCACTAGTCCACGGGCACTCGAGCTTTCAGAATTCGCTGAGCTGATGGTAGAGACGGCAATAGATACAACGAGCAGGTGAGCAAAAAGACACATTTATTTATTCATTTATTTAATTTTTTTTTGCGATGTAATTTGTCAGAATTAATGCCCCTCCACAATCATGTGTAATTACAACAATCCTTTTCTGAGATGTAGCTACACCATGATATTTGAAGTTAGATGTTTTCAGCATGATAAAAAAAAACAAAAACAAAAAAAACAAAAACAAACAAACTTTTTCATGTCGTTACAAGTATTTTTTTATTTTCAATTTAAATTGATTATAAATGCTTTATATTTTGAAAAAAATATACATGTCTCCATTCTAAAGACATAACTTAAAACGGCTGCGTTGTGTGGGCAATATAACCATTTGCTGTCTCAGATGCATTAGGTGACAAAACTTCAGATGTATAACACAATTCTCTGTTTCACTTTTTACATGCTTTTTTCAATCGTCTTCTCCCTCCCGATATAATGCAATACATTCAGGTCTGAATAGTCTGATATGTACACGCATCACGTGACTTTATAATGCGATCACGTGGTCAGTAATCAAGTAAAGACTTGAATTTCTTTCTTTTTTGTTTGTTTTACTTTGTTGCAGTTGTATTATAATCAGACGTTGCTGTATTTAATTGTACATTTGTATCGAACGTTTCTAAATTTACTGGCGACTTTAATTGATCTTACAATCCATTTTGTTTAAAGACTCAACGTCCCTGTAGATTCACAGATCCAGAAAGCTTTGAGTAAAGTCGGTTCGGACTTCCTGGTCTCAGCCAAGCGCACATGTCCATTCTTCAACCCTCTGTGTAATCCCAGCTCACAATATCGGACAATCGATGGGTCATGTAACAACTTGAAAAATCCCCTTTGGGGAAAAGCACTCACGGCATTCGAACGATTTCTTCCTCCCGCATATGACGATGGTAATATACTTGACGTTTATTCTGAAATGTTTGATATTCATTGATGTGTGGATTAATTGTTAATCGCAACTAGTTTTTTCCCCTTTCATTTCATTCGAAATGTCATTTTCTCATTAGCTAATAGGTTGACAATTTTGGCCTCAGTGTAATTGTTCAGGCTTAGAAAAACAACACAACTGTGTGCAGTTTCATTTCTAATATGGCATTACTGATCTAAACATTTTGTTGACAGGTGCTTATCACTTGGGTGTGCCAGTTGTATAATCTTAGATCTTAAGAGTTATTTCCCTTCGAGTAAATGTATCCCGCCATTAAATCAATCTTGATGTCAGTGTTAATAGTTAGGACCCTGATACAACAAAACGAAACAAAGTCAAAATATAATTGCTTGATTTTGTTGTAAGAATTTATGATATACAGATGAAAATACTTAAACGGTCAACTTATTGCTATAATTTAAAGCAATAATGAAACATCCTGATGATTTAGAAATACAACTGTATGGTGAAGCATTGTGCAGAGAGTTTACAACTTACAATAAATTAATATTCGATACCTGGTAATTATATTTTACAACATTTTCCTATTAATGGACTATTTTGTAGGAGTAAATTCGCCAAGGACTAAAGGCCTGTTTCAAGTGCCGCTTCCCTCTGCTCGTAATATAAGTGTGGAGATACATACTAATCTCGGACCCATAGCTCCCCGGCTAAGCCATCTCTCTATGGAATTCGGACAGCTTGTTAGCCACGACATCCAAATGACCGCTCTCTCTAAAGGTAATCTAATATCATGGATAGAAAAAGACATTATATTAACCAACATACGTCATGTGGATATAAAAAATACATTTTCTTAAAATAGGAATGGTATCGTTCAAAAAGTATGATTATGTCAGTCAAAACTGCAGTGGTATTTTTCGCTTAAGATCCGAGTTTAAAATGCATTGTTGCAATTTGAAAAACAATTGTTCTGTAAAGCAATAATCAAATTCCATGTTCTGTTAAATCAACGCAAAGCTTTGTGCGCTAACACACGGTGATGATACACAATAATATATGGACATTTAAAAAATGTAAAGAAATACTAGTTATTATGTATTGTAAAATAAAGGATAATTAAGTTATTATCACACACCACCAGGTGTACATACATTTTCCTAATCGATATGTAGAGATTATATTTTACAACCAAGTAAAACTTTGATTCATAATGTATAACTAACATATCAAGCATCCATGATTTTTAACAATATTTCATTAATTACTTTGGTAATTCAATACGTAGTTATTTTGAGTGGTCACATATCGGAGACTAAATATTCTCATACGTTCAGAAGATGAATTTGCCCTTCTTTCGAATCTATTCGCTATAAGACGATTTGTTTTATTACGGGGTTAGTACACCTTCATGTCTAAATGTTGATATCACGATCAATTTCGACAATCACTTTTAGATTGCCTTAATCGCCTTTTGTATAATTCTCATTGTAAGGGAATGAGTGTAACATATATATGAGGTGTGTATACCTGACCACAGAATTACGTCACAAAACCCCTCTGATAACATCTTATCTATTTCAGGTTATGCTGGGAGAAATCTGAATTGCTGTAGAATTAAACGAAGGTGAGTAAATGATTAGATAATTTGATAACTATGGTATCTGGTATTAAGCTTATTTTCAATGTCACTCAGGTTTTTTCATTAGGTCTGTGTAATTCTTATATACATATTTCGCCCTCCTCGCATCGATTTTGAGTTTCTGTTTTCATTTCGGTGGCTGTTGTCATGACAGAGTTAATACAATCCATAGTTAGTATGTGAAATCATAAGGTTTGGTTTTAGACAGAAAGACATGTGGATTGTCATTTTTTTCTTTCTGTACAATCGTCAAAATAAAGGTGCCTGTTTCCAACAAAAATATCTTAAAAGCCTGTTTTCTTTCTATAAGCATAGCTTGATACATTTATGTGCTATTTTGAGTGAGAATTTAGCTGGGTTTTTTTTTCGAATTAACATCAATTATCGAAAATGAATTCAATATAACAACGAGGTAAATAAAACTGTACACAAATAAAAAATATTGCATTTTCCCTCTAGGAGGAATTGTTTCCCTATCCCTATAGCGGATAACGATGAACACTTCGACAGAACTTGTATGAACTTTGTCCGCGCGCTTCCAGCACCTCCCATCGATTGCCGTTTTGGTATGTTATTGATATTTGTTTTTAGAAAGCTTTGGCATTCACTGTAAAAATTATATTCTAATGCACGAAACGGAACCATTAAGGCAAATGGTTTTAGTTTCTTATTTATTATTTTTGTTTAAACCAGAGTTTAATCAAGGTGTGATGTACATTGTACAGGGTGATCCATCAATTTTGTGGTCAATTCATGTACCGATAGAATTGTTTAAACGGTTCAACCGAGTTAGATGAAAATGATCTCTTTAACGTAGATACAAACACTTTTGTACAGAAATACAATACATACTTTTATCGTTATTCTGGTAGAACAGATATTTGAATTGCCTAGTGTTTAATATCTCAACCCAAGATACTTACACCATTTTCTTCTCTGACGCCAATAAACAAGGCTACGAAGACGTATTGCATTTCATATTTTTATGAGCAGGTCCTCGTCAGCAACTTAACCAAGTCACCCATTTCCTGGACGGATCGGCCATATACGGCTCGGATCAGGAAACGCTAGACGTCCTCCGTGATGGAGGTAAGTGTAAATCTACATAAGCCTCAAAGAAACACTTAAAACCATACGAGTATTGAAATAGCTGTTGTTTTCAAGGGGAATGGGGCTGGAGCGGCTTTATTTCGGTTTTATCAGCATGAAATCGGATTGATAAAATAGATTTGGAATTCTATAGTCAGTTTCATGCTGACAGTGAAATACACATCTTTTATACACCAAACCTCAAGTAAAACGGTGAAAGCTGAACCTTCAGAAATACAAATACAAAACTAGAAATTGTTGTGAACAATTTGGCGGGCTTTTCACTTCTTTGGCGACAAGTTGACCGGAAGTTGACATTTATCCTGATAACAATATATGAGAAAGATTCCTTGTTTGTTAGTCTCTACAACATATCCAAAGATTAACTTTGAATCTTGAAACGTTAAGGAGGTATAGCTACATAATACCGAAGAAATACACTTTTTAAAGGTTCAAACATATTTGATCCCTGTGACCTTGAATGTCGGTCAAGGTTATTCATATTTGCAAGCCGTATAATGTAACATCTGATAATCAATATATCACCAATATTAGTTCTCTAGACCTTGTGAGACTTGACAAGAAGATTGTTGAACACTGGTACCCTATTTTGTATATTTGAACTTTGACACCTTTGGGAAACCGGAAGTTTTCCTTATGACAATCACTAGGAAGTCTCCACAGAAGGTTTATAATCAATGTTCATCATTGTATGCCTTCTAGAAATTGAGAAACTTTCATTTAACGATTTTTAGTTAATTGACATCTGTGACCTTGAAAGTGGGTCAAGGTCATTTATATTATCAAACTTCGTTGCCAGTTATATATGCTTCATATGTGTGAAATATAGAGCCTCTAGGCCTCTCAGAACTTGAGAAGAAGTTCTTCAAAGATTGGTACCCTTAATAGCAATTTTCACATTTGACCCCCCCACCGCAAACCGGAAGTTGAATTTTGAGGTACGTTTCTCTTATATCTCTCGACAGGAAATGTCCACAGAATATTTATGTCCAAAGTTGAAGACTTTGGCAGCTTAACAATGGAAAAATTACCATTTAACGATTTTTACATAATTGACCCCTGTGACCTTGAAAGTGGGTCAAGGTTATTTATATTAACAAACTTGATAGATAATTGATCAGACATCTTACACATGAAATATCAAGACTCAAGGCTTTGCAGAACTTGAAAAAAGTTTGTCAAATTTGGTAACTTAAAATAACACTTTTGAACTTTGACCCCTACCGAAGACCCGAAGTTGACCTTTGATCCCAGTTTTTTCTTGTGAAAAGTGTTTTCTTATTATTTTACATAATATGGTTAAAACTGAGGTCATTAGCTGAAACAGTTCTTGAGTTACGGCATTTTAGGTAAAATCGGATATGACGTCATGGCGGCCATTATCTTTTTCCGGTGAATTTGAATATGTCACTAAATGGTAGAAGACATCTAGGGAAATATCCTCAGTAACAATTTGATAAAATATAGCCCATCAATATTGATCTAGAACGAGTTTTCCCTATTTGTCGGCATTTTTAAAAGATCAAAGGAAATTTTCAAAATGGCGTACAGCGGAAATGGTAAATGTTTCAGAAGAAATGAAAACACTAAATTCATCGGAAGGACGTTCTACATCGATCTGAAGAAGAAAATTTCAATAAAGTTCAAAATTGAAAAAAATTAAAAAATTTGTTAAATTTTGAAAACTTTACCCAACAACGAGCTTTTTTATTCGACATATTCTCTGTAAACATGTCATGACAAAAATTTAGATAAAGAAATTCTCTACAAATAATATAATTGCACAAACTCTGTATAATCAACGGTTTTCGAGATATTGCCGTTTTAAAGTTTTTAACTTATGACGTCATGGCGGCCATATTGGATTTTTGACCTACTTAAAAAATCTGCATCGTCACCTTCCAGTATGTACCTATAACATAGTCAATACATATTAGGTGTGGTCTTTACCGTTTAAAAGATTACGAACCCACAAAGTTCGGAAGAAAAATAATAATAATAATAACTAGAAATTGTTGCTAACAATTTTGCGGGCTTTTCACTTCTTTGGCGACAATCTACCGAAAAACAAAACATTAAATTCATCGGAAGGATGTTCTGCATCGATCTGAAGAAGAAAATTTCAAGAAAGTTCAAAATTGAAAAAAAAAATAAAAAATTTGTTAAATTTTGAAAACTTCACCCAACAGCGAGCTTTTTTATTTGACATATTCTCTGATAACATGTCATGACAAAAATTTAGATAAGGAAATTCTCTAAAAATAATATAATTGCACAAATTCTGTATAATCAACGATTTTGGAGATATCGTCGTTTTTAAGTTTTTAACTTATGACGTCATGGCGGCCATATTGGATTTTTGACCTACTTAAAAATTTGGCATCGACAAGTTCATATACGTATCTACATAAAGGTGAATAGAATGAATATCTATATATTTCAATTTAAAAGATTACGAACCCACAAAATTGGAAGAAGAATAAGAATAATAAGAAACCGAACAAAAACAATAGGTCTTTTCACCACTTAGTGAAAAGCCCTAATAAGAAACATAACAAAAACAATAGGTCTTTTCACCAAATGGTAAAAAGCCCTAATAAATGAATAAGTGAACAATAATGATGGAAGATCATTGCAGTTTTTAACACAACTCATGTCAAATGTGCTCAAACTGATTAACGCTGTTGCACTTAGATAAATAACATTATACAAAGGATTGGTTTGACTGAACGCATTACAATGTATGCAGCAATTTAACGATTTAAAAATATCATTCTGTAGCAATTCAGTTCGGTTTTGAATGCTGGCAATTATTAGCAATACTGGTACTAGTACAGATATACAAATGGTAATTTAAATCATATTATAATGAAATTTAAAAAAATATTACCTGAAGACAGTTAGGTGTTATTGCCTAGATTACCGATAAGTTTATTATGTAAATGATCAGAAAGACGTTCAAACAATGGATAGAAAAAAAAAATCCAGTAAATAACGGTATCTATAGCAACATTCAAATGCATTATGATTTTCTCATGATTATGCAGCTGATATTGCAATTTTTCTCCAGCTTTCCTGAAATCCCAAGGTAACAATGATCTCCTGCCTTTAAACCCAAATGGTATCTGTGCCCAGGCTTCCAGTGACAAGTGTTTCCATGCAGGTAGGAATAATCAAGTTTATTTAATGCACACATTTAAAGTTTGAAGTTGGTAGTTTTTGTAAAGGCAGGAAACGTTTTCCCAAATGCGACAGTAATTGAATGTGCAATTGAATATGAGCAGTAATCAGTGGTTTTCTACTTGAAAATAAAAGTATAATCAGGTGACAGTTAACTTTATTTTCTGATATAGGCGATGTCCGGGTAAACCAACAGCCAGCACTAATTTCCCTCCAGACAGTTTGGATGAGACATCATAACAACTTAGCTAGACAAATCAAAGGCGCAAATCCTGGTATGAGTGATGATATTGTCTTCCAGGAAACCAGAAAAATTGTCACAGCCCAGTTGCAGCATATCACTTATAACGAATGGCTCCAGGAAATTCTTGGTGACAATATTATGAATCAGTTTGATCTTAAACCCAAACCATCTGGACAGTACTACAAGGGTTACAACACGGCCGTGAAGCCGATGATAAGAAGTGCTTTCTCGACATCTGCTTTCAGATTTGGGCACAGCTTGATAGGGAATGACATAAAAGAGAAGAAAGCCTCAGGTACAGTCCTCCATCACAGACTCCATACCACATTTCTTAAGCCTGATCTCGCTTACAACGGAGGCGTCGACTCCATCATGAAGGGTCTGTACACTTCACCCGCACAGAAGACGGATAATCATATAACTCACGAAGTAACAAGACATTTGTTCCAGACTGCACCTAAGAATGGTTTGGACTTAGCAGCTACAAACATTCAGAGAGGGCGTGACTTTGGAATATATGATTACAACACCTGGAGAGTGGCTTGTAATTTGGGACCCGCTTCGGACTTTGATGCATTAGATCTCCATTCAAGCGAACTGAGGAAACTTCTGAAGAAAGTTTACAAGTAAGTTCAACAACATAAACATACAACAGTGTGTTAATCTAATACCCAATGTATGGGGTTCGATTTCCTAGAAATAAGAAAAACTGTTACACAGTAACTCTGACAAGGGATTGTTTATATGTACTAGAATCATGGCTCCCTTTTTATCATTTTAGTACCGTGTTTGACATTGACTTGTTCACCGGAGGCGTTTCTGAAAACAACATCCCCGGGGGAAATATTGGAACAACTTTCGCTTGTCTGATCGGTTTACAATTTCAAGCTCTGAAACAAGGCGATCGATTTTTCTACGAAAGCAACACAAATGTCAAATTCCCGATTGGACTTTTAAATGAAATAAGGAAGACAACCATGGCTAGAATTCTATGTGATACAACAGGAGTGTCGTCCATCCCCCGCAAAGTGTTCCGGAAACAATCTTCAACGTAAGTGGAAGGTTATGACAGATGAATTAGTAGCAAACGTCTTATCAAATACTTTAATTTTTGTCATTACTGCATTTAGTTAAGGTGTAATTTTTTGATGGTGGAAGTTGAGTTAAGGGTATGTAGCATTACTTAAAAAATGTCAAGGTTAAGTGTTAAAAAGTCACGTTTTAAACTTCTGCATATTCATTCGAGAAGGATATTTAAATGAGAGTTGAAACATCTATGACACAGGGAATGCTATTAATTTTGTTAAATGGGAGCTTAAACAATTATTGGACAGGATGCTATTGATTTTGCTATTTCATAACTGCCATCATACTTGGTCAGTAATATGCATGACTCGGCATGACTGTTGCTAACGTCATCTTTGCATGTTAAATGTGCATAATAAATGTATCAACGTTATATGGGACTTACAAAGCCATGTACACATCTTACAAACTATTTGACAATTTAGATGAGATTATAATTTCACATTAGATATTAGATATCGAAGAAATATAAGTAATTTTACACTCAGTTTGTATAAAAAAGTTAAAATTGGAAATAGTTAAATTTGTCCAGATTTGCGAACAAAAAACAAAACATATATTTAATATGATGATGAAAATCTCTTTTCTTTTGTTTAGAAAATTATGGTGCAAAACGTATATTGAAAGGAGGGAAAGTATCGAAACCAATTTAACGAAATTTTTGTTTTATTCTATGTTGTTACAAATCAGATGTATAGCTTTAATACTTCGTCTTTTCGTCTAACGTACCCTATTGCTACTGAACTATGTATTTCCTGTCTGTTTCCTGCAGTTCTTATCTTGTTACTTTAATTCCTTTTTAGCAACCCAGCAGTAAGTTGTGGATCCATTCCAAATCCAGACCTGTCCCTCTGTGTTCCTGTTAACGGTCAGTGGAGCTCATGGACAACATGGAAAGTCACTCCAGGGTGTGTTCCAGTAAAAACAAGAACAAGAAAATGTAACAATCCAGCCCCAAATTCATGCGGCAAAAGTTGTCCTGGACTTGCAAAAGATACAGAGATTGGCAGCTCGACCCGGGGTGGAATATTTGACCTTACCGGGGGAAATTGTAATCCCTGGCCTCCGGCCACCTTGCGGCCATTTCCAGGTCCTGTTTTCCCAACATTTCCACTTAATCCACGTCTTCCAAATGTTCCAAGAATTGATTTACGCGACCCTGTTCTCCAGTGAATTATCTATGACTATGTTCCATTAGGTATCTGTGATAAGACTGATATGGCTCCAAGATTTGTAAAATACACTGACCATGTCATGTCGTGAATATAAATCCTTGCGCCAACATTTTGTAAGTAAAAAATGATGTCAAAATATATGATGTGGAATAATGGAATTTTGTTTTTATCTTAGAGCAATAAGTAATGATGTAACGAAAATATTTGTATTGCCACTGCGTTCGCCGTTTTTAAATCAATGACGTATTTAATACGCATAGTCAAGTTTGTGTTAGTATTCGTGAGTTCAGTTTATTTTATCAACGGTTTTAAAAAAGTTATTGAATATTTTCTTGAATGAAAAAGAGCAGAAAAAATATTTGAATGTTCTGAACAGTTATTTATGTAAATTGTTCTATATTTTGAGTTTGTGTTGGTGGGAACGTGATTGACTAAATATATTTAACTTTTAGAACAACGTTTTATCTGATATTTTGTTTTATCAGCGTAATTTATTAGGTATCCCAATTAAATAATGGGGGCACTATTCATCATTCCCTTTTATGTTTGCTTAATAAATTTTTCATTCACGTAATGTTTGTTTATTGTGCGTAGTAGCTATTTTCGCTAGTAATTCTGTTGCAGTCTTGTCATATTTCCGAAAAGCCATGACTTTCTCTATTATATTGCAGAGTAATAATACTCTGCGCATCTCTCCTTGGAACACATTTACAGTATCATTTAATATTTACAGTCCACATGTTCTAAGGATGGCTTGGATACAACTTAGAAAAGGTTACTTACTTTTATATATGAATGTATATCTTAACATCCTAGCAACATCTATGGTTGTTAAACCTCGGCCTCCCCATGTAGTCATTATGACTTCATGTGCTGTCGAATGCGTGTAGTTTAAGCCGACTATAAAAAACTACTGCTGTGAAACATAGTGCGGCAAGCTCGCAATCAGGACACCACAGCCGGTAATACAGTATCGACGACTAACAATTCTGTCACTAATCTTCTATAATGCTGAGCTTCAATGCGTCTCCGGGCTGCCTCTTTTGGTCAATAGACTTTCTTCAAATTTCAACCAGATGACACTTTTATGTTGTTTTTACCGTTCTCAATGACCCACATTAAATTTCTACATAGGATGTAAATGAAATATGAATATTCAAATTTACAGTTATGGTAAAACACTACGCACCAAAAAACAATCATATATGCATCGTCCGCATACACGAGCGATGCAGTATTTAGTATCAGTATCAGGTTGCAATGGTGTTGTAATATGCGCGCCCTCGTTTATAAGAATTTCGGAATTGTTTATTGGGAGACTGCGAGATATTGTATCTAAACTTTCTGAAAACTTATACATATTTTGTTAAAATTCCTACTCAATAACCACAGTACAATGGTGTTAAAGATTGTAGCATTTCGACTTACTTACTGATTTGAAAAAGAAAAGTTCTTTTGTCATCGAAGCATTTTATCCTGCTTCCAACCAGAGGAATTTTTTTATCTGTTCAAGTTATTGATTACACTAAATGTTAGAAGGACTACGATATGACTGATTGAATTTTGAAATGATCTTCATCAAAATGATTTGGATGTTGTTTCGTTTACAATTTTGTCTACCTTTAATTGACATAAATGGCATCCGGTTCAACAAGCCCATGTGAGCTCACCCAAGGAATATCATTTGGATGATAGTAAGAGACAATTAAACGTAGAATATTCACATTTCGTCTACGTTCTACACAACACGGCGACAGTAGTGAATATAACTAAAATAGAAAAGGTAGTTTTAACTTCCGTGCTCAACATTCGATATCTTTATGTTGAAGCGTAAGATTTGACATCATTGTTAATATTGTTTTTCATACTTTTTCTTGTTTTCCCAATAAAACTACACCCCTTTCTACCCAATGCAAGTCTCTTGAATACCATCGTAAATATGCGTTTTATCCTGACTTCGATTGGTGTTTTAGATATATATTCACTTTGCAGGAAAAGTCATGTGACATGTAGTAAATTATACTGCCATTTTCAAATTTCACTCAACGCAATCTCTAAAAGACGTAAACGTGATAATACATTGTATAATTCTAAACGTCGTATTTGATTTAAACCATTATACCAAGAGATTACGTTACAGCCATATTTGCATGAAAATGAGGTATTTTGTCAATTTAACGTTTAGATTATTCAGGTGAGCACTGCAATCTATTTATTGTGCCTAATAATGACATATTTGTATTAATGCAGATACAGACTTTTTATATCAACAAAGTCATTATGAATGAAACCCTTTCTGTAACTCGTACTGGCGTCTGTAGGTGCCGAAGAGATATGCACATATTATCAGTTGTAATTTCCTGACATTCATTTCATGAATGCATCGGACCGTTGTGAGAGACTCGGAAATATCCTAATAAATCAAGATCCCAACGACATACTGCTGTAATGGATACGAAACATTGCTCTCCTGACAGGTGCACCCGTAATCAGAACGTAACTGAATCCACAAGATTCACTTAAGGAATTACTTCTGTTTATAGTTAATCACAAGTAACATACGATGCAAATTATTAATATAACTATGTACTTCATACAATAATATTGCAAAAGATTTTAGTATAAACAGCAGTATTTTACAGCAGTTGAGAATCAATTTATTTCAACATTTTAACTTAGCATTCTTGTTCTCTCGAATGTAAGCGGAGTACCCGAGGAAAACCCACGTGGTCGGCAAGGTGACCCCTTACCTTTTCATGTCTGTTCCGAGAATCGAACCCCCGGACAGTTAGTTGAAAGAAGATTGCGTTACCACTGCACCATCTGACCACCTCGTAAGATTTCATGAGGTTTCAGATATTATCGTGCGACGTACTTATTAAAACTTATCCGTTGTAAACATCGTGACAGAGGCGTTTAGTTACAATGTATACGTCGTAGCAATTCATTAACACGTAAGAAATTATATATTACATACATACATACATACATAGCCAGTTGTCAGTATAATGTGATTAGGTGGGGTTTTTCAGTGTGGTAGTACTATAGATTTGGTTACACTTCAACACATGTACTCATCTCGCTAACAGAAGGAAGCCGTCCTCAAATGATTAAAGCGGCTAATATTATGACGCTTAACAATTTAGGATTAAACCCAAGTATATTACCAGGGGACTGTCGGAGACCCAGCAATGGGATCTTTTGTATTCTACTGTATGCTAGTACATGGTGGCTAAATTGAGCCTATTGTGGATTTAAGATCTTCTCCTAAGTATGAGTTAAAGAGAGCCCGGAGGACGTAAGATTCCTTCAAACAATTAATGTTGTGTTTAACTTCTTTGTTTAGATAATTGCATTTAATCAGCAGTAGAGACACGATTGTAAAGATGCAACTTTTACTAATTTAGAGTTAGATACAGTAGAGCCAAAAATTAGTTCAACTGCATCATAGAATTGTTTTGTCCATCTATTATTTGTTAGTGAGGATAAAAGCCTGAAGTGATAACGACTGTGTAAACATTTTAAAATAAAACAAACAAACAAAACTCATAGTTGAATAGCAACTTTTAATCATATAGAGTTAGATACAGTAGAGCCAAAATGAATTAAATTGCATCATACAAATGTTTCCTCCTTCTAGCCTAAAAACCAATTTATACCTTATATGTAAACAATCTTTATTTGTATAATGAAAACCATATAAAAGGTCATCAACATAGTATCGCAAACATTTCAGCTGATAATTTCCGATAACCTGTCCTTGTTGACATTTAAAAATGGATATGAATTAAACATGAGGACACTGGATCCAACATTTCATATAAAATCCTGTGGTATGGCATTATCGCCCTGGAGTTACTGTATTTTAAGCTCCCATTTGAGCTATCATGCTTCCGATATTAACCTTTGTGAGACAATCAGATACGTCGATACATAATCATATCATTTTCTTTAATGGCATTTCGGATAACTACATGTATTTAGCAATATCCTAAAGGCTATTTATTCGAAATGTAGGGCCGTCCAAGATAGGATATATCTGGAACGTGTTTGATGCTCGTTAGTGTGACTGTTGATTCAATTTTTGTATACATTGTCCTCATTTGAGAACGTGACATTACATGAATTGACAAAGGTTTACACGGCGGATGTTGTCGATTAAGCATAAACCACTTAACCTGAACTTCTGGTCTTATTCTCAGTGTACTTTTTAAGGGATATCCGTATGATTCTATTTTTTGTTCATAAATTTTCCTAGTTTTATTGAAATAGAGTTTGGATTATGAATTGTTGACATGAGGGTATTTTATTTTTCAACAATATCCGGCCGTAAAACGTTCAGCTGTATAACTTTACTCATCACACTGAGGACAATGCACATTATAGCGGTTAATGCAAAACACAATATAACACATTAAGAGAGTCGTGTTGTGGACACCAGATTGTCAGTCTCTTCAACGAATTTATTCCAAAACGAGGTTGCAAAACAATCGGTCTAAAACAGTGAATAAGTTTCATTGTAATCAACCAAACGTGGATGCATGTACTATCATCATATCCGTTTGCCACGAGGAAATTGTCCTCTCGGACTGGCGTATGGTCATACTTTAATACAGATCCTTAAACTACAAATAAAAAGATTCGAGATATATAAAACGAACAAATTGAAAGGCTAATTGGTCGACAATAATCGTAAAAACGGACGACGGTAAACGTCGTCACATGACAGAAAATTCAAAACGAAGTCAAATAGATAGACATGAAAAAAGATATATACAGAAATAGCTATTATATCGATGACGCTCTCTATACCATATACTCACGGGATCAGGTGATAACATCATGCATATAAATGGAAATCCAGTCTGATAATACTGACACGGAATATGTCAGAGTTCGTAATAAAATCAATTTCCATCCTCATCTGGTGCCTGAATTATTCAAGTTCCGGTACCAGCGTTTGAAAAAATCGCTGACAAATATGACTCAGTCATACTT